AGCACCAACCTTAAATGGAAAAGTTAAGGGACAAGCTTAGACCCTAAGTTCAAGTCCCAATATGGGCATAAAAAGAAAGAGGAGAAAGAGAAGGAAGAAGGAGAAGGAGAGAAAGGCAGAAGGGAAAAGGGGGGAGGAAGAAAGAAGGCAGGAAGGCAGGAAACAAAAGAAGGAAAGGAAGGAAATGGAGTGGCTGCTATGGCATGGTTGCTACATGGAGTTTTACATGGAGCCAAGAAAATGAAGAAAAGGGTGTTTTATACCTAGCTGATATTAAAATGGCTGTCATGTGAATAGTTAAAAGCCTAATAGTTGGACAGATAATACTTTGAGAGGCATAGATAGAATTCAAAGAGGACCTATGCCTCTCTGAGGTCACATGTTTTTTCTCATATGTGAAAACTAGACTTAAAAGATAAACACAGGCATAAACACATATGGGAACACACATGGACAGACACAATCTGTGTGTATGCTTGCATAATGTTTGTAAATGTGAGATAGAGAATTAGAGGCAGGAAGGAAAGGAAAAGAGAATGTTAGAGGGTGACCAAAATTGAAATATGTGGCATCTGTGAGTGCAAAAACTTACTAACAGCTGTTGAATACTAGGTGGCAGAGGGTGGGGAAAGAATAAACAAGGGTTTAATCTCAATAAAGTACTATATCTGTATGTGTAAAACCTCTTTGAACAATTAACATAAACTTTAAAAATGAATGACAGGAATGGAAATCAGGTTTTGTTTGGAATGTGGGTACTAGTGGGAAGCGTAGGTGAATAGAAAGATTGTTCAAGGGTGAAAATGGTCAAAATACTCTACGTATTTAAGTGAAAATGGAACAAAGAAGCTTGCTGAGATGATTTGGGTAAAGGGAAGGGTGGCTGGGAGAGTTACAGAGAGGGTAAGCCTGCCCAAGGTACATTGTGTGCATAAATGGACAGGATAAAATGAATCCCCTTTGTACAACTCATTAGTGCTAATAAAATGTGGAAAACTAGTTTGTTCTTGGTGCCTGATGGCTCATGACTATAATTTTAGCTATTCAGGAGGCTGAGATGTGAGGATCATGGTTCAAAGCCAGCCCAGGCAAGAAAAGTCCATTAGAAAACTGGAAGTGGCACCGTGGTTCAAAGTGGCAAAGGGCTAGCCTTGAGCAAAAAGAGCTCAAGGACAGTGCCAAGGCCCTGAGTTCAAGCTCCATGACTGACAAAAATAAATGCTTTGTAAGGGCTTATAAAAGTGATTTGAGAATTTATTTTTTGTATTTCAGTTAGAAAATGTTTCTATTTTCCTTTAAGCATCTGATTTTTAATCATTACTCCTACAGCTTTAGCCAATTGTCTTCTGGCTCCAGTTGTCCCCTTTCTGTCTTACTCTCCAGTAGAATTCATCCTCAGTTCAATAACTAAAAGAGAAAAAAATACATTATAGAACACCATTTGATAGCCAGTTTCCTTGGAAAATATTAAGTAAGGTGTGTAAGGTGCTTCACATACAGACTTTAGCCAATCAAATTACAAGACTGCTTTCATTTCATGTTAATTGTCTTATTCAATCAATTTCCTTTTATTGTTTGCCTAAAAATGAACCTTTACAGGGTTTCTGAGAGCCTCAGATTAGAGCCATATTAAAGGTTGGAAACTCAGTTTGCTGAAGATTTCAAATAATTCTATTGTCTTAGGATGTGCTTGAAGGCACACTCTGAAAATGCAGCCCTCCAAACTGTTGTGTATGTTTTTCAATTCTGCAAAACCTTGCCTAATGGAAATACATATGTATAAACCATGTATATATTCACCAGTAATTTAAATATATAATGTATCAAATATATATTTATATTTAATTTGCATCCTATGTTTGTTTTCCTGACAATGCCCAAGTAGACTATTTTGCCTAGATTCACAGATGAGCACCATCCCTTCCAAATTTACAATGAATTAGGAGAATATATAAATTGCTAGTGACAACCAAGAAGTTTGCAGCATTTGAGTATATGAGAAGCTACTCTTAGGCTTCAGATCATTCCACTGGAATTAATGGCATCTAAAACTTCTTGTTCTGATGAGATATGGTATCTGCTTGAACTAATTTTATTCGTATTTGCTGGGGAGGTTGGCTCCTGCCTGGTATTAATTCAGAAACCTTGAATGTTTTCTTAGTTTTAATGCACTACCTTTCATCTCCCAAGTATTTTGTTTACTACAGCCTTTATGAGTTTATTTTGCTTCATGCAATTCCAAACTTACAAGGTGTTGACATGCAAGGTTTCCTTTGGCCTTGTAGAAAACCAGCCTTACTTAGAAATATGCTTGGCTATGGAAGGCATTAAAGTCAGAAAGGAATAAAAACAAATACGTATGTGGAATTTGATTGTCTCACTCTCAAAACACAGATAATAGTGCAAGATATAGAAAAATCAAAAGATCAAGAAAACTTAAGGAGAAAACACCTGTAGGTTTAGCTGTAGATGACTAAATCTTTAAAGTACAATCACTTAAAAAAATCCAAGTTTATTTTCTTCCAGGACTCCAATAGGAAGATATTAAAATAATGAAATGTAGGGTCTTTTGCGTATTGAAAGTTTCAAAAGGACTTTAATTCTCAACAATCACTTCCCATTGTGAGTTCCTAATATTCTACTACAATCTGAAACTTCATCTTTGGTAATTTTCTGTGAACTTTCTAGATCACATGAAATTTTTAGACATTCAATTCATGCCTCTTTGGAAGTTACATTTGTTTGTCAATATCACAAATGATAATTACAGCCTGAATGAAGGTTCTACCTACTTTCCTTTTCATATTTCAGAATTTCTTGCATATGAAATGTTGAAACATTCGTGTAATGTCCTATTGCTGAAAAATCTAATAAATCACTCTACAATGAAAGGCCTTGATAATGTGTATGCAGCTAGACAACAGGGAACACATGACATGGCCTTAGGATTTTCAACATAATTAGGACTATTTCAAACACAACTTTTCTTTTTATTGGATTCAGTCATCTGGAATTTTTATCACAATAAGTTATTTAAGGCAAATTATTTTAACACATAGTTTAATATTCTTTTCTGTCAAAATACCCATTGAATAAATTTGGCAAATACAAACATTCTTTGTTCTGTCCTATTTTTTTTTTTTTTTAACTTGCAAACCATTTATTGAAGCTCATTGCTGTGGTATTATTTTTCTCATTCTTTTTCTTCCCACAGCAGAACCAATGTAGCAAACTCACTTAGATAACTTAAAAAATGTCTTGTGATTGCCTATATTCTATTATGCTAACTATTTATTGCTGAATTCCAAAAGCAACTACCATCAAAATTTCTTACCATTTGATCTTATACAATTTGAAATTGAACAGTATGAGGAAATTTCAATGGGAGATTCTTGAGGAAATTACAGAAAGTGAAAAGATGCTGTAGAAAGAGGCATTATCCAAATCAGAGCATTTAATGACTTAACGAAGGTAAAACAAAAAAGAGCCCACTGACTCTTTGTCTTTAATGCTAGGTATAACCAGAGTTGAATAAAATTCAGCAATTTTCCAAAATTGTTTATGTTCTGGAAAAATATCAGAGAGATTGCTTTACCAACCCGGTTTGCAATTGTTTGTAAAGAAACGAAGCCTAGATTTTGTTTACTGAATAACTACCAGCCTCTACTAGAGAACAGCAGAGGAATTGCCTTTCAGAAAACCAGAACCTTGACAAATTTCGTAAGGTGATATGGCCACCATATGCTGTGAGAAAAACATCACACCTTTTCTCCAGAATGTACCCTATGTGTACATTTTGCTTGTTTTGAATTTGTGGAGTAATCTTCTGCATTTGATAAGTGGGGAAAGGAATCTTCATCTATGTCCTAGGACATGAAGCCTTTCAAATCACTGGACCAAGCACTGAACCTTTAAGACCTATGGGGCAGAAAGGAAAATGCCATATTTCAGAGTGTAAACTCTCATCCTTTTCTCATATTCTATAGTTACTGTTTTGAGATCTTAATAAATTTTTCCTGTCATTTTAGTGGGGGTAGGGCAAGACGGTCAATTCCAAATCTGAGGGATGAGAACATAACAAGGTAAGGCTGTGCCAGAACAGTAATGGAAACACTGTAAAGCTAGGAGCACAACTGCCATCCACAATCCAAGTCTGTTTTCCCAAAGTGGTTACAGGTTCTCCACCTAGCTGCCTGTCAAAAGCAGGTGAGCTACTCACAACTCTGATCTGAGTAAGACCTGATTTTGGAGGAGGGTTCCTCCTTGCGTTGGCTCTGGGAGATTTATTTGTTTTCCAAGTGCATTAGGTGAGCCGGAGCAAAGCTAAGGGGTTACATCTGGAGTCTTTAACACTCTGGAGTCTTTCTTCTGGAAGCTAGGTGAAGCCACCTTTTAGCTGGGATGCAAAAGTGGAGGGAAAAGATTAACAAGTCATCTTCAGGAGTCTGGCTTTGTGTTCCCCATCCTACAAACGTGGGGTTAGGAGAGGATGGGGTCAGAGCATAGTCCACTTTGAGAGCACTAGGTAACAAAAATTGGCCATTTTCTGAGGAGACTGAGCTGCCAGAAGCGGAGGGATCAAAATGCTGGTTTCCTCCTCTCCATCTCCATTCACTAGTAAGCCCCGAACCGCCTCAGGTAGCCACAGGCTGGCCTGGGAGTCTCCACCTCCTCGCTGGCGGCAGCCAGTCGGCGCGCTCGGGCGTCAAGAGGGTGGGGCCCATTGGCTGGGGGGTGCTGCCAGTCTCGGGAGGGGGTGTGGTGGGGTGGGGACTTGTGCCACCGCGGGTCCGGACTGCTCACTGTTTGCAGGGTGGTGGGAGAGCCTAGAGCAGGGGCAGGGCTGCTGGAGACTTGCGAACAGTTTAGATAGAGCAAGAACGCGCCCGAGAGAGCGAGCGAGCGAGCGAGCGAGCAAGAGTGACAGAGTGCTAGGGGACCTAGAGGACTCAGGAAGACAGAGCGAGGGCCTAAGGACCCACGGTAGAGACAGAGTGACCATGGCTGTCTCTGCACCTCCGGTGATCTCTGCAACTTCCAGCAGCGCTGGCGTCCCGGGGGGCTTATTTCGGGCCGATCCCTTGTATTCGACTTCTGGAGAGCCCCCTCGACTAACCCCTAACATGATCAACAGTTTCATGGCTAATAATCACAGCGGCAGTGGAGGGATTGGTAGTGGCAGCGGTGGCAGCGGCAACTCCAACGCTAACACCAACGAGTGCCGGATGGTCGACATGCACGGGGTGAAGGTGGCTTCCTTCTTGATGGATGGCCAGGAATTGATCTGCCTGCCGCAAGTGTTTGATCTTTTCCTTAAACACCTGGTTGGGGGGTTGCACACAGTATACACCAAGCTGAAGAGACTGGACATATCCCCCGTGGTGTGTACTGTGGAGCAAGTCCGTATACTCCGCGGGCTGGGAGCCATCCAGCCGGGGGTGAACCGTTGCAAACTCATCACCAGGAAAGACTTCGAAACTTTGTTCACCGATTGCACCAATGCCAGGTGAGACACTATTTTCTCTACTCGCTAGTTTCTCTCACCCCTTTGCCCTCATTTGCATGTCTCATTCAACTTTGTAGAGAGTCAGAAACTAGCTTGTCTCTTCATGCTGTAAATCGCTGAGGAATGAAGACTAGAAGGACTCATTAATTGCAAGTCCTGTTTCTAGTCTGTGCTCAGTGGCAGGGCTCGGGTTAAGAAAAAAAAAAGTCCTGCATAAAACTTAACTTTGCAGTCGTCTACTGAAAACTTTCCAGCCCTTCGCTCATATCTTGCATGCTTTTTTTTTTTTTTTTGACCGCTTGTGATTATTTGTTAATTTGGTTTTCTTTCCTGCTCCTTTGTGGCCACACGGGTCGGATAGGTTTCCTCCTAAACATAACACTAGGGGTTTGGGGAGCGTGTGTGTGTTGGCGGGGGGGGGGGGGGGGGGGTGCTGGGAGGGGGGTGGCTGGCTGAGCTGTAAAATTGGGCTCCTGAGCTGGCCAGGAGGATGCAGAGAGTCGGAAGTTTAGAATCCATCCCAGAGGGTGATTTGATCCCCATCCTGTGTGTTTGTTGTGTTAGTGTGTGGAATGAGTGTTGTTGTTGTTGTGTGTATGTGTGTGTGTGTGTGTGTGTGTGAGAGAGAGAGAGAGAGAGAGAAAGATTGAGAGAGAGAGAGAACGTAAGTGCGTGTAAGGAGGAGTGTACATGCCTGCTGCGCAAAGCTCCCTGATGCACGGTACAGGAAAGTAGGTTTGAATCTTCTATCTTAAAAACAACGACGACCGATGCTGCTTTCCTGGGATCGTCCCTTTTGGGCTGTCTGCAGAGGGTGATATGGGGCATGAAATGCCGGGCTGGGGCTGGGACTGGAGGGTTGGTATGGAAGTTAGCAGTTTTTGTAGAGAGATGGTTTGAGCTCTTCTCCCTAGGTAAACAGTGGAACGGATCCCATTTCTCTAAAGAGGATTATTTAGCTGGTAATGACTACCTTCCCTGGTTCACATCATAGTTTAGAAACACATTAGGGAGTAAGTGTACATGTGCATATCAGAAACACACTGTGTTCAATGCTTTGAATACAAGGAAAAGAAATAACATTCAAGAATATTTGACTTTTAAAATACCCATGAATTAATCTCGCTGGTGTTCACTCCATCTCCAGTCTTCTGTTAATGCCTATTAGAAAAGTACAAATGTGATACCTACGATTGGTATACAAATGGAGAAATCATCATCTGAGCCAAGGATTTTGTTGTGGAACAGCACTACTATTTATTATCTTGCAGAGAACTTCTGCTTAAGTACACTGTTTCACAAAGCAACTTTAAATAATGAACTAAAACAAAAGCTGTAACTCAGTTGCCACATCTGTTGTAAAATGCAAATTGCTATGTTTAGTTGAACAATACTGCCAAGTTGGAGACAAACTGTTGCTTACTGCTACAGTAAGATAATGCTACAGAACTTACAAAAGAACATTTCCTTTTTCTTTAAAGTGTTCTTCTGTGTTCAAGCAATTGAACAGACACTTGTTCCTATGAGAACTTGTACCTGATTCATATTTAGGGCTAACAAACCTGGTTTATTAGATCAGCTTTTCTTAAGGAAGACAGATGACCTTAAAACACAAAGGATAACAGCCTCATTCAATAAAGCAAGCAATTATGAGTGGAAAGGGTAGAAGAAAATTTTATTTTGATCACAAAACATTTTACTAATGACACAAATTCGATGCTTTCCTAGGGATGGAGGCCTGTCTCATTTATTTGTTATTATTCAAATATACTCACCCCTAAATAATTGCATACAGGGAATCTATCCTCTTAGGAACTTTCTCTTTCCTCTCTCCTTCCTCCTCCTCTCTTCCTTCTCTAGCCCTCTTCCTTACCTCCCTATTCTCCTTTCTTCCCCTCCCCCTCTCAAAATTTCTCATTCATAGAGTGATCAATTCTTACACATAGGAAACATTTCCTCCTGAATAATTAATTTATACAGGAGAAAAATCTATGTTTCCCTTAAGAGTACACACATTAACATTTCATTGTGACTTTTTATACCTTCCTCTGTAAATAGAGACTTTATTTTTAGTTAGAGGAACTTACCAAACTGAAAAAAAAAGATAAATTATTCTGCATTCAAAGGCAGATGCACCTCTTCTACTTTTGGACTATGCTACAATATATTTAGAGGTTATTTTAAATCTGATTAAGAGAAAATTCTTATCAGTATTTACATAGCTAACTTTTTTCCTTGAGTTAGTTTGTGTATTTACATGTTTGTAGGTCAAAGAAACATTGAATATGGAGGAAGAAGTATTTGTAAAATGATGCATGTACTTTCTATTGTGCTTTTTCTTCACGGGTCTTTTATTACACATGTTTTCTACAACATATTACAAGTATTTCAATATATAGTGGTAAAAAATATGAAATTTATTAGATTGTAGGGATACAATCCATAAATGAAGATGAGAGGAACTACTAGAAAGAAACATACATGGCAAATTTAGATGGGAAACCACTGATAATCTCTGAAAGTTTTAACTAATAGTAATATAAATAGCATAACATTTTCAGATTTTATAGATGCTAATACCCTCATTGACATGATAAAATGATAGAATATGATAATGTTTAAACAAGATGCTTCATGGCTTTGGCAATATTATTTCTAGAAATATGTGTAAAAATGATTCAATTTTGTATTGTCAAATAAAAGTTACAAGTAGCATTTAGATCAACATTATTTCTATGGCTTTAAAAGCCTTTACAAAAGACTTTCAAAGTCTGCTAAAAGGAAAATGAGACGTGTAAAGAGGATAAAGGTCCAACATAGACAATGGAAGGGAGATGATACATTATGCCAGTGAGAGATATGAGATGCAGGAAAAGAGCAGAATGTTGCCACCAGAAGGAAGAAAAGGTGCAGGAAAAGATCCTGGAGAGATGCCCAAAGAGGACGGATGATGTTAATACTGGAGACCTGGAGAAACAAGGTTGGCCTTCAGGACTGATGACTTCTTGCTGCTTCTAGCTAAAGGTGAGGGGGAGGAAAGTAGAACCCCAAAAAGTACATGTTCAGTTAAGTAGAAAATTTCACAGGCTATTCTTATTTGAAAGAAGAGCTTCATCTTCATCTCTTGATAGATACATTGTCCTAATACATTCATGAGTAAAAAACTATTTGTAATGGTGTTATTGATAATTTTCTTGCGTAATCTCTTCTCAACTTCTATGTCAAATATGTGGGAGAGACTACCTGTTCTGTCTGACAGGGTGTGTTTTAAATTTAGTATATTTTTAGTGCTCTCCTTGTGTATGCAAATGTACCATTTCTAAATTGCTCTTCTTCAGAATTTGATTTGGTTCAGTGCACATTTTTATTAATGTGCATGAAGAAAAGTGAATGAGTAAATTTTTTCTATGATTACTTTGTAATCATACAAAAGTCACACTAAGATCTCTATCAATGCCTTTTATTTTAGTTAATTACTGAAATATTTAAAGTTGTCTTCTCAGAAAAGAAGCTGGAAAATAATATATGCTTCAACTGCTAAAGAACAGTACAACTAAAACTCTTGACAACTCAGTGTACTATTAGGTAAGTCAAGTTTTCCATTACTGCACTTTTAAAGGGCTATGAAATATTTTCCTTTCATGCCCTTTACCCTAAAAAATACTATAGGGAATTATTTAGATAATTAAAAATGATGAAAAGACACAAAACCAAATGAGAATTATGTCTTTGTTTTTGTAAGCACTATCATGTTGGTTTAATTTCTTGAACAAGAAAACTTGTAATTTATATTCTCACTCTTTATGCATTGAGATGTTTATTAAGTTCTCTTAAGTTTATTAGTGGCAAAATACTAAATCAAAATTGGTTTCTATTAAATAGGAAAATCAACCACACTTTAGTAGTATCTCTTTCTATGTACCTGTCTGCACAAAAGTAACTGTCAGGTTGCATGATCAGCATTTGATTTTGTTTGAGGAGCAACTGATTAAATGTTATTCACTCACTTAAATGCAGTTGAATAGATGCTTGATTAAGTACATATATGATTAGGAAACATTTTAATAATTATTTAGAGATATGACAACATAAAACAAATAAAATTCAGTTTAAAAATTAACATTCAAAATGTTTCAGTTATTTTGACAGAATAGAAACATGATGTGCTTTGATAGAAAACAACTTATGCAAATTATAATAACATTAAAATATTTTAAAATTACTCTTAAATCCTAGAAGTATGATTATTGTCAGCAGTGGATAAGTTTTGCTTTGTATTAACACTTGATGAATATTGTATGTTTCATGAGCCATACAGTATAATATACTTTACTCTGAAAACTGACATTTTGCTTTTGCAGTAAAGTTAAATATCATAAAATCTTAAATAACTTATAAAACTTTACTGGGCTAATATTTTGTATTATTTATATTTTGAGAAATGGTCAAAAGGTTCTAGAAGTGAATCTGAGCAGTAAATTCAGATATTTTATTCCACAGGGATAGTCACATTGTCTGCTAAAAGCAGTCACATAGTCACATAGTCACATAGTCAACAATGCTGTGTTTTTATTAGATGATTGAGGTCAGGATTATATTGAAAGCAATGGAGTCATATGCCAATGTACTGAACTTTCATGTGTACATTAATTTAATATATGTACTTCTATATTAGCAATGATTTTGCATTTATGTAAATACTTTAGCTAGCATTCATATTGTTTCAAACATTTATGTATACTACATTAAAAATGACTATGACATTATAGAATACATCTCTGGATTTTTATGTATAATAAATATTTATCTTAATATCATATAAGAATGATAAAGAATTAGGCTGTATTTGTCTTTAAATGTAAATGCTTTATGTGATCTCAATTTTAGAGGTTATCAAATAGGAATGATTTGACTCTTTTTAAATAAACTTATTCTCTGTCTTAATGAAATACATAATCATTTTCAAGATGCTTCACACAAACAAAATTGTGAGACGCCCA